TCCCTGAGCTGAACGGTTTGTTGTGTATTCCCATCCATTTGCATATTCGAAGACATTTCCAGTTCTGACTCTCGCCGGCTCTTCTGATTGATGCGCAGATGGTTCTGAGCGTGTTTTCATTGCTCATGACGGAACCATCCCAGCAACGAATCAGACTTCCCGCCAGTGTCGTAACTCCCAGGTCCCTTGTCAAACAATATTTAAAGATTGGACTTTGTATAAAGCAGCTTCCAAGTTTTATAATGCATCATTTTACATCTTTCGTAATTAAAAGCACATTGAGGTTGTACCTGCACTTGGTGTTTTCTGCGGCCTTGAATGTGATGGGTTGGGGGAAAGCCTTCATCCTCGCCACCTCCTGTGCAGCACTGCAGGCTGCAGTTAGGAATTTCTGGTCCTTGGCTTGACAGGTCCTGCACTGACCTGCTTGTCATGCGTCCCCTCCTGAGAGAAGTTCCAAAAGAAGTAGGGCCAGTGGTTCTTTGGAAGCTGTGAGTATCAGGACAGAGGTTCGTGGCAGCGCCTCAGTGTTCCACCCCCCTCTGCCAGCACCCCTTCCGGACCCCAGTCCTGCCCTCATCTAAACCCCTCCCCGCTGCCCAGCGTCTTGGATCAGTAGTTGACCATCAACCTATGAAGCAGGAGGTCACGGTTCAGTTCCTGGTGAAGGCACATGTCCAGGTTGCAGGCTTGATCCCTGGTGTGGTGTGTGCAGGAGGAAGCTGATCAATGATTCTCTCTCATCATTGATGCTTCTCTCTCTTCCTCTCCCTTCTTCTCTGAAATCAATAAAAATATCTATATATATAAAAGACTAATGTGCAGATGTCCCCTTGGGAGTTCGACCGGGAGTTCGATCACTCGCTATGATGTGCACTGACCACCAGTGGGAGGCACGGAACAAAGGGAGGCCCCGACTGGCAGCTGACAGCCAGGGAATGGAGGCCCTGGCTGGCAGCCCGAAGGCTCCAATTGGCCCTGATTGCCGGCCAGGCCTAGGGACCCTACCTGTGCACAAATTTTGTGCATCGGGCCTCTAGTCTATACTAATAAAGGGTAATATGCTACTTAGACCAGGTAGACCAGATGTCTTCCATCCTTCCTGACAAAGCCGGGGCCCAGGTGGCATCGCCCAGGGTCCCAGGTGCCTGCCTGGGTGGTGCCGCCCGGGGTCCTGGGTGCCAGCGGCTGGCCTGGGTGAAGCTGGCCTGGTTCCTGGGTGCCTGCGGCCAGCCAGATGGAGGGAAGCCTGGGTCCCGGGTGCAGGGGCCAAGGCAGAGGCAGTTAGGGGTGATCAGACAGGCAGGCAAGTGGTTAGGGACAATCAGGCAAGCAGTTAAAGGCGATCAGGAAGGCAGGCGACCAGTTAGGAGCCAGAGGTCCCGGATTGCGAGAGGGATGTCCGGCAGTCGGACATCCCCCGAGGGGTCCCGGATTGTAAGAGGGTGGTGCAGGCCAGCCTGAGAGAGCCCCCCCCCACCCCCCGCACAAATTTCGTGCATCAGGCCTCTAGTATTTTTAAAAAAACTAGTCCCCTGTGGAGGTTCAGCCACGGATGCTCCTTCCTCCAGTGCTCCTCTTCATGGACTGGCCTTTAGCCCTGTCTCCACCTCCCCAAGGATTTGGCTTTGTTTTCTACCTCTGCCCCTCCCTGTTCACAGGGTTCACAGGCCTAGCCTAGCCAACGGCCTGAGAGACCACCTTCTCAGCCACACCCACAGCTTGTCACAAAGGTGACTGCGGAAATCTTACCCAGAAGTCCCATCTCTGGCCTAACTTCCTGAGCCATCATCTCTACTTTGATCTACACAGACCCTGTTCTTTGACCCCCACTGAGGATCTATCCCTGTCCCTTCCTCTCCAGCTGCCAACCCTCTCCTGGTGTCCCTTCCTTCCCAGGCCAGTGCACTGGGTCAGTAGCCTCCATGACACCCTTCCTGGCCCCCCTGCTCTGACCCCCGGCCTTTCCCTGTTGGGAGCCCTGCGGAGAGAGACGGCCCCACACTGCCCACTGGCTCAGTCCTCCCAGGGGCATTCCGACCTCCTCTCAAGGCTCTCATGTCTCTCTCCACTTGCAGAAAATCTCAGGATCAATTATTATAAGTATTATCTGTTACTTGAATATGTTGCTGTCTAAGAAAGATGAAGAAATTTGTATGCTACTTGCTACCAAATCTTACTAGGAGTGGGGGCGATGTTTTAGTTA